TTTCACGGAAGTGGTAAACGTCTAAGACCTGCATCACTTCGGGCTTTCCTCCCACATTAAGCTGACACGCCGTGATATAACTGGAATACTGTTAAAAGCGGCGTTAAACCCAACTCACTCACTCACTCTTACCCTTCAGAATATGCACCAGAATTGTTTACCTCAAACAATACTGTCAATAAGCACATGTTCCCTTCTGTAACCGGTTATTTTATCTAACACAACACAGATGTACATGACAGGAGTCTGACAGTGGCAACACGTGGCCATATACTACCGCTGTCACACGTGTGACGACAGGACAGACTGGATACACACAACGTATCGACCTGGTGGAATGGACGCCAAGGCACTTCCGCTTTACGCGTGTCACGGGGAAGGAAAGTAATGGCAGTTAGCGCTGAGCAGCATGCAACACATACTATCGAATGCCAATCCTAGATTTGTGCTTCCTGCTACTCAAAATATTGTTTTGGAATATGTATTAGTCTTGATTATCCCGAGTTACGCTAATTTGGTGTTTATTATCAGACATTATACTGAACAGAAACGTGGCTGAACAGAGCCATTTGTTTTGGATGCATTAACACATGAAAGCCATGAATTTGTTAGTTACTAATCGTGTCTTTCACTTGATTGTAAAACAGATATTGTGTTTATCAACAATACAAATTTGAGAGAATGAAAATCTATGAAAAGTATTACAGTATTCTATCTATTTCTGGGCGGTGGGTAGCCTAGTGGTTAAAGCGTTCGCTCGTCACGCCGAAGACCCGGGTTCGATTCCCGACATGGGTACAATGTGTGAAGCCGATTTCTGGAGTCCCCCGCCGTGATATTGCTGGAATATTGCTAAAAGCGGCGTAAAACCATACTCACTCACTCACTCACTATCTATTTCTAAAAAGTGAAAAAAATCAGTCTTGACCAGGCGAACCACAAGCTTGTATCATCGTCGACGTCATCCGTCCTGCAGGTATGACGTCACTCAATCAGTCAAGACACAGGGTATTCCATCTAAACTGTCGGCAAAAGAAATGACACTTGAAAATTGGATTTGGCAAAAACATAACGCTATCAAAACGTTACTAGGCTGAAAACAGTCGCCAAACAACTCAAACCTAAGGTCCAAAACATAACTATGATACCCGTATGAAACACATCACCATCAAATAACCATTTCTTGATTTATTTCATTTCCAGCCACCATCAATACAGGTGTATGCTTCCCTTTGCCAGACAGAATATTTCACGGCGATTTGTAAAATATCGAGTCTGGACCAGGCAAACCAGTGGTTGATATCATGATCAACGCCTCACGCCGTATGGTTGCGATGACGCAATCAGTTACGCCACAGAAGAGAGAGAAACTGGTTAGCGTCTACAGATGCGTCTCAAGGAAGGCTGGGGTACCGAGGCTTATACGTGCCTCCTGGGGACATATTCTATGGTTGGGAATTTCGTGAAATACTTAACACATTGGCCTCGGGTTTAATTATATGTCCTGTGACAGTGAGTGAAAAATAGTCTCTTACAACAGTATCAGCTGCTTCCGCTACATTTAAGTGGCAGCGTATGACATTGGCGGGTCCTTCTCAGCTTTCTTTACCTTGTAAAGCATTGAACAAGCGGTCCTTTACATTGAAATATCCTTTACACACCGTTTGTGAGATATTGTTCAGTCATGTCCGTCGCCATATGACTGCAACTCAGGAACTTATACACTCAGGCAGGAACCTCTATTAACAGATACAGGTACTTTTGACACCAATAATAAATTGTCTCGAGGGTCTTCTTACAGGTATCGGGGGCACGGGTGGCCCAGTCGTCTTAGGCGCCGCGATTCGCTGTGCAGAGTTGCGTTCCTTGGGCACGCCAGAAACCTATGATTGTGGGTTCGAATCCCGGTTTGCCCCGATTATGTTTCTAGGTTTGTCAGCACCATACCCGTGCTCGTGGGTTTCACCGAAGCGGTAAACGTCTAAGACCTGCATCACTTCGGGCTTTCCTCCCACATTAAACTGACACGCCGCGATATACCTGGAATACTTTTAAAAGCGGCGTTAAACCCAACTCACTCACTCACTCTTACAGGTATTAATGACAATGTGAATCTCTAAGAAAATACGCTAGATATAACTAATTATATAATACTGTCCAACGCGGCCCTCACTCACTGACTGTTTAATACATAACTCTACAATGAATTTGGAAATTGATTGATTGTGATTAGCGAGTCAAGACAATTAAACTGGCTATCATCTATGCTGTGTAAAATATGTGTGTATGAAAATCCACATTTATTTATGATTTCACTGTATTGACTATGTCGTTGACATAGTGACCATTTTTACCATGAATTTGAAAAACACTCAATTGTGATTGGTCAATAAGAGGTTTCAAATAACAATAAGCACCTCTGATTGAAATATGTGATTTGACGACGGCATCACCATGGAAGCTGATATTTAGAGAAAACATTGACATTTGAAACCGAACGCTGCTGAAACCATTGGCCTTCATACAAAGGATGTACATATACTCACCGCTAAACATAGAAACATATAGAGAAGTGTGTGCGTTAAGAAGAGATGTTTCCAATGTGTACCACTTAATGTCAAAACTAACAACCAGTCAAGTGTAACCACAGTGTCTTTATACGATGCAGGTGATTGACAAACTTTACACCTCATCCTGTCCGAGTCAAATGGTGCATCTCGAGTCATGGATCTATGACGTCACATGTGATGCGTTCATGAACGTCGGTTCACACATCATCCGAGTATGTTCGTTTGTGAATCAGTCCAATCTCATACCTCTTGAATGTGAGTAAAATATGGTATTCGCGTGTCGCGTAAGTATATATTGAAATGAAATTGTTAAATAAGTAATTTTCATGATAACAGTATTGCTAGTTTACATAACTTCATGAGGTTAACAAAACACAGCTTCTGTTTTCACACATTAAATTACGAAATGAGTTTAATGTTCAGTCAACTATTCATTTGTGGTATATAATAGTTTCTTGTCGCTTTTTAATGAAATTCATCTTCAACCATTTTTAAATTACCAAATGTGCACTTTCTGTCTTCTTTGTGAACATTTTGCCAACCATGTACATAGATTCCCCCCCCCCCCCCCCCCCCCCCCCCCCACACACACACACACACACACCCCCCCCTATGGAGCTAAATATATCCTCTTGTACATGGAATCGTTATTAAGCAAGTAATGTTCAGGTTTTAGATTATATACCATGTATTACATCTCAATTATATTTCAATATAAGATAGCTAATCGCATAAAATAATGAAGAATGAGCGTGTTTTTTTTTACATTGTTCTCTCTTGACGTCAGTTCTGGAGATTCGAACATGAGCTCGCAATTTGATGGCGTCACATATTGGACGACGTTATTTGTGAGTTGTTCCCCATAGATTTAGTTGGGGTACGCAGATGGCCAAACGATCGCATCCAAAGCTGGGAGAGATATGACAAGCGGTATTAGGAGAAAAGGTACAGGTAATCGATGAGAGGACTGTGAGAATATACGGGAAATGCAACACTTTACTCACCTGTTCATAAAATGGACTTGCCCGACACTGCCGAGGCCTGCTTCTATTCAGGGAGTCATCATTATTAAAATTAAGGTATCTATTTTAAAAGCTTGTACATTTTATCAACAACCTTCAAGAGGCTAATACTCACTGTTGATATCTCATATAAGAAATATATATCCATTCCACTGCAGGGCCTCGAGCTCGTGGTTTATTCTCCCGGGAGTGTTTTATTGAACGATAAACAACTCCCACTAGTGGTTTATATCTTAATTAAGTACATCGGCATGGTATGGAGATATACTACACTGTATATCGCGGATGAACACAGATGAAAGGCATATATATATATATACAAATGAAAGTGAAAGGCATATATATATATACAAATGAAAGTGAAAGGCATTTATATATTGTATATATATATATTAGTATAAATAAGGCATATATATATATTAGTATATATAGTAATATTTAAAGAAGTGGAGTAAGATTGAACACAGTTTTAATAGGCTAGCGCTTTCAACTCGTACCACGTACGAGTCTCATCAAGCTAATATATATACTGTATTAGTATATACTAATACAGTACATCTATATCGTTTGTCCCGGCTATATGACGGCGACCTGTAAGTATTCGAGTCTGGACCAGACAAACCACTGATCGATATTGTGAGCAGTGGGGTACGATGCCATGCATTCATCCAAGTCACTGAACCTGAGCACCCGATCCATTTCCCGCCTCTTACGACCAGTTGCTGAATTTCTACGGGGGAGGAGTGGGGTGGTGGGGGTTGGGTTGGGTTTGGGTTGGGTTCGGTTGAGATTGGGTGCATGCGTTGTTGAACTGAACTTCTTTTTTTTCTCACACGCACCCCTTGGATCAATAACTGCGATGTTCGTCATTGTTGATTTCGCATTTCCAAACGCATCATAGAACTTTATCAACATATAGAGTGACAATCCTTTACCCATTTCAAACAACATCCTCATTCCATACATAACGGCTAAATTGTTTCAGTAAGGAATTTCATACTTGAATGTATGACTCTTTAAACAATACGATTTATGCATATGAATGTAAGCACGTGTTTTCATAGTAAATGGTTTTAAACAACCGGTTGATCAATATGGATTGACAATAACGAGCCGATGAAAGGCTGCATTTCCCTGAGTACGCGTCCTGGGAAGATCGATGAGCTCCTTGACTGGAGGACGGCCTACTTAGCGTAAGGACGTGACACTATCGTAATACACTGAAAAGTAAAATATCCCAGAAATGTGAGATATATATTTTCTTTGGTAAAGCTCTGTGAATATAATTAGCGTACGGAATGCCTGCAGTGTTTGAATAACATGCCCCGCGCGTTGACATGCCTCGATTCCGCAGACAGCGACGAAGCGGAACTGGAGCACGAACTCATGAATATTCATAAGCCGGTGATTCGCACAGTGTTATACCGAGGCTGATGGAGCGCGGAGCCTGACAGCGGGGAAATCCCTCGCAGTGTATCGTCCCCGTGATGTTAGCTCAGTAAATATCCCTGTGCGCTGGGAACGCCGATCTTTACCTGTGAATACTTCCCTTATCAATATAGGACCAAACCTCTCGTCGGACGGGAGTTGCTTTCTGAGTCAGTTGTCAGTTATGACCCGAACGCAGTCTGTATATCTACCCACACAGAAGGCGAAGCAGGTAGACAATCCTGTCTTGTGAGCAGACGACACATTACATATATTGGATGGTACTTCGGAATGATGACAAACCCGGGGAAGACACACTGTGTTTTACGGACGCCGGTTAAACCGAATTGGATACAAACTGTACTGTGGGGAGTCGTGGCCGCGATTGTTGGATTTAATTCAGGTGAGTCGATCCGCTTTATCTTTTAACCCATGACAGGCATGAACTAGATAATGTCCGCGATACATGTCTCACCCCAGGCGGGTATATCCATACACTATCGAACAAATAGCTGTTGGTACACCGCGCCTTTCGTTTCGTCGCCGGATGACATGTCAATGGTGTCGTCTGCTTTTAATTCAATAGCAAGGTTACGACGTAGCTTAGCCAAACAGGTTATCTGAAATGTTTGAATGGGATGAAAAATACATTCGTTCCACATGTAGAATTTTTAGAAGCCTTATTCTGAGCTTTCAACAACGTTATTTATTTCTGTGTGTGAAGAAGAATATTATATATCTGATATATTTCCTTCATATTTAATATATGTTGAAGATGATCTCAGCAGAAATACCTTTTGTTATTTGTATGGTATATATTTATCAGTTAACCTATTGCGGTTATCTGGTTCCTCCAACAGGCGATAAGCACATGCTTGCAGAGATTTGATAGTGCTAAGTGTTGCTGTACGCTAAACCACTGGTTGCGTATTTGACTTTTACGGTGAATGGCACGACCTTTTGTTTGGAACACATGTGTTACAATAATGTACATGACAACGACACTATATAGTTATTGTAACGATCATGCGCATGCATTAATTGTCGAGCCACATGCACTCATGCGAGTTTGTATGTTCGATAACAGTTCAATAATCATCTGAATGTAATGTGACATTTTACTGTATAAACAGGATCCTACAGTGTTACAGGCAAGCAGTGGGGTTATGATTGAATTTCTAAAACATGAAAAAAGTGTTACACGTGTATTTTAAGCAGCACGCGACACGTGCACCAACGCTGGCCTGTTAGTCCGAGACTAGTAAAGAGGCTTAAGGACTTGTCAAATGAATCGTTTGATAACCATTTCTTTGATGCTGAAGACGACAAAATAACAAAAAAAATACAATGCAGGGATAACAACCTCTTTATTTTTCTGTAATAGCGACGTTTCGGTACTGATCCTTATAGTGTTGTCAAGCTAGAGTGACCTGCCCGCCAGTATAAGGATCTATTACATCGTAAAATAAAGACTTTGACTTGTCAAATGTTGTTGGACACTATCCCGATTCTTTGTTAGCAATTGTTTATCACTGATTATATTCTGTACATGACAATTCTCATCGAGAATATTCAAAGTTAGTTTCATTACCTCATTAAAACATAATTGTACGATTCTTATGTAATATTTCTGTTTGGCAGTTGAAAAGCTACTGAAGTATCGTAAGGGCCAGTATAAGTGGTCACTGACCCTAATGAAGTGATTTATAACTGGTGTATAAATATGTGAATGTTTTCTTAAGATATACATGATATTGGAATCCGATTCCACTCAGCAGTCATTTTTTTATATATTCCGGATTATTGTATAGACAAAGCAGAACACATGGCTGCAACATCTGGTCATACATGGCATGTAAAGTAATAACACATAACGGTCGTGTCACGTATAAACATTTATTATACATGCAGTATATTAAGACACGCCGTGATATTAAACATATATTGCAATATCCTATAGGATAATTACAGGAATACCATGCAGAATACATATCCCATCACTTTGTCAGAGCCTGTAATGAGTTCTTCCTTTTAACACTGTGTGTTCTTTGTTCCTTATTTGGATGTAATAATTACCGAGACGTGTGTCTATTTTGAGGTTAGGGATACACCTTCAATGAATGTAGCGTTACAGGGATGACATCACCGGCGGCGGACGGGAATGGACTGTGGATGTTATCAATGGAATTTGTGTGTGAATCATGCGTGTTAGTGTTACATCAGTGTACACGTGTTTCTACACAAACCAACCACAACACCCTTCCCCACTGCTAATAATAGTGTTTCAGTGGCGGCGAACGTACAACACACACGCTCTGTTTACTATTGCCCATCTGTGTGGCTGTTGCAGCTCCATCTTCCTGACATAACGAATACAGGAGACTGTGTCAGCCCTTATTTTATTTATTGGGAGATTTAGTGCCCATGTTCGGAATACGCTATCTCGTCACGGTTGGGAACAGGGTCGGTTCTTCAGTAAGGTCAAATTGTCAGTTGTCAACGTCCCAGCTGCTTCCATTTATGATTTTCCAGGGAACTGACGTACACGCAAGTAAGGGGTCTTAAGTGAGAAGTGTACTTTTGAATATATTATCTGCAGTGGGTAATTTGGAGTGTTCATCAAAATAGATCTTCTGTCCAACGACCCTTCAAACAGCTGTATCAGCATTTTTAACATACCTCACCTTTTGTTACTGCTTTTATAGGGTACGTGGACTAGTTTCAGGTTCAGTGGACAGGGGCGGTGAGGTCCATACTCATACACACACATACACAGACACATACCTATAAACACACATACATATATATATAAATATATACACACACACACATAAACACATACATATATATATATATAAACACACAAAAGCACCCACATACTCAGTGACACACTCACACAGACACATACACACACATATACATACCCATATATAAACACATATCTATACACACTCATATATTCACACAAACGCAAATCCATACTCACACACATACACACAGACACATATCATACACACAGACACACACACACAGACACAGATCGTTTCCATTAGGTTTCTTTAAGCTGACAAGAGGATAATACCCTGTACAAATCTGTGATCAGCCATCTGCCACAGACTTACATCTCAGGACGTGACACGATGGTGGTTTTGCTCGTGTTTCAGGTAGGAATGTTCTCTTTATCAGTGTTCATAGCCAGCGAGGTATGTTTAGCAGCTCGTCTTGTCATCACCTGTTTATGATACGCATCGTGCAGTGTGATATGAGAAAACGGTTAGTGCTCGTTAACTGTTAATTCATAGATTCAGATACATCGAACAGACAAAAGAGATCATGTTTTTATTATGGTGTTTTTCCAGTGAAGTGATATTGTTCCATATCAGTGTAATTGCATATTTGTTTCGTATGCCCAATAACATTATGAAAAAAGTGTGCAAACGTTTCAAGTTTTCACTCGATCAATCGATTGGCGAAGCAGTTGTGTATCGGCAATAGGACATATAAATATACCATCATGGCTACAGACTGTTAAGTTATACCCGCACTCTCGTTGCGACTGTCGAGCAACTATGATGTCTTCAGAATTAGAGCTATTTCACATCGCGTCACAGTGTTAAGGACAGTTGTTGTTTTATTGACCAAATATTATGTCTGCAGAAAATGTGAACCAAAAAACAAGATTTTAATGCCATTTTTCACCGTGTTTTCGCTCAAGCATTGATTTTACGCTATACACCAATACCACTTGACCATATCTGTCCGCCCTCAAGTAGAAAATATCTCCGGCTATTTAGTTACCCTGCCAACCCAACAACTGGTTCTGTACAGTTTCTGATTAATTCTGTAACTTCAGATATGTCGCAATATACACTCTACAAAGATAAAGATCAACTTGGAAGGTATTCCCGGAAAATCACTTCGATAGAGTGTTCGACACATCCCATTTCGATACAACCGAGTTCGAATGAATAAGACTACCCCAGACTGCTCTATCACTGTACCATCGTGGATCAGTGTGAACTGTTGGGGTGTTAATGAGTCTTAAGTCCTAAGCACATTTAGTTTGACAACCATGAGTGAGCGAAATGGATGTAACGCCCCCTTGAACAGTACTCCAGTTATATCAGCCTGAAGCGATACAGGTCTCAGACGTTTACCACTTTGGTGAAACCCACGAGCACGGTATGGTGCTGACAAACCCAGAAACATAATCAGGGCGAATCAGGATTTGAACCCACAATCATAGGTTTCTGGCGTGCCGAAGGGGCGCAACTCTGCACAGAGAATGGAGGCGCCCCAGACACCTTGGCCATCTGTGCCCCCTTATGATTATGAAGTTAACCACAGGTTAAGTGACAAGTTTAACTAAGAATTATCCCAAATGTCACAGTTGATTACAATGCACTTGTTAGATCCTTCATAAATATGCATAACGGTCACGCCGATTACACCGTAGTGCCTCAATTAGAACCGCAGTTATATACTGTGTGTTGTGAGATACATTTATATTTCTTTTTATCTAAGACTTAAGTTATGTCTTTTTGTTATGTCATATTTACTTTTTTGTGTAATATTCCGAAATGATCGTTTCTCTGACACCGTGACTACAGTCTTGACCAAGGGCTTAGATAGAAACGGTTAGACGAGCCCAGAACATATTTTAATCTACATAAATGTTGTCTGTTTCAAAACATGAAAGCGCATTTCTGGTGTCCCCCGCAGTGATATTGCTCGAATATCGCTAAAAGCGGCGTACTAACTCGCTCATACTCTCAAAATATGAAAAAGAATATTCTTTAATGACATTTCCCTATTTGCGATGTGCATATATTTCTTGACTTGCTTATATTTATTGTCTAGCCTTTGTTAGGAATCTAAAGCGGGTCTTCCACGTACAGAGTGAATGCTTAGATAACTATGCTACCCATAATCACTTCAAGACACAACATCCGTTGCTCAGGGTAAAATGATTAAATATTCTGTTACATTTATGTAGCATGAGGTGTGGAGTGATATGTACCTAATCTATGAATAGATAGCTTGTCGCAATGTCATGAATATCCGTCACAATCATTTAAAGACGTGATGGGATGATCAGGATCTCAATGTTACTGGCCACGTAAAGGAAGTGGAAAGTGATAGATCATTACGACACACTGATATTAGCCACATCGTAGATCGCCACTGGAAATTACGTATATATGGTGCCACTATGAGTCATCGAAAACTCAGGATGAGACGGATCTTTCATGGAAATTAATGTCAACCTCCGATTGCCAGTTCCAGAACCGAGCCCCGTATCTTTCTATATTAGGAATTACGTATCCCAATAGACGTTGGTGGCGCTAGGGTAGCCCAGTTGTTAAAGCGCTCGCTCTTTACGCCCTAGGTTCGTGTTTGATT